CGTCTGTACGAAGGTACGCAAAGGGCGGAACAATTGCGTCACCAGGCGATTGAACGTCGCCGGGGGGTTAGACAAGCCCTGCGGCATGACGAGCCACTCCCAAAGCATGCCGCTTGGAGTGCTTACCGCGGTGAGCGAGATGTCACTCTCTCGCATCAGGATTTGGTAGTATCCGTCTACCAAATCCAGCGCACTGTACAGTACGCTCCCGGCCATGTTGTTCAACAACACATCCTTTCGTGGGATCGGTGTTTGGGCCGGCACCGTTGCGTTGTTCAGCTTGTTATAAGCGTGAACCAGACGCCACTTTCCGTTCGGCTTACGAACGCAGAAAGTCGGCGTCGAGTGCGGGGATTTCGACTCCCGCACCATGCCTGCCTTCGCTTTCGCGGCGAAGAAGGCATCAATGACCTCGCACTGTTCGCGCGGGAGAGGCCATTGCCTCGTGACACAATACTTTGTGCCGGGCACGAGATCAATCTCGTGCCGTACGCCTCGATCCGGTGGGAGCTGGGTCGGTGGGTGTTTATTCACCACGTCCGCATACTCCGTCACCAAAGGATACACCGGATCCTTGGGGTTCTTGAGAATCTCAGAACCCAAGCGCGCCTGACGCTGCTTGTTCATGTCTTCCAGGACGTTCTCGTCCAAGACAGAGGAGGAGTTCAGCTCCTCCTGAGTGGTCTCAGGTCTTATGAGTACCATCTCAGCGATCTCTCCAGCCTTGAGGTTGGCCAGGAAAGACTCAGCCGTCATTTCCTCGAGGTTCAGTATCTCTGCAACCTCTGGCAACGGTTCCAAGTGGACACCAGATGCCTTGACGGGTAAACCCGTCTCGCTATCGAAGATGTGATAGCACTCTTCCACCGGCCTTGTCGGAGGAGCCCGGGCCCTGGACTCCGAGTCGCTTGAAGCGACGTCGATCGGAACGAAGTTCGGATCCGACTTGAGGCGGCGGCGGCGTCTTTGCCGACGGCTTCTGTGACGGGGAGCTTTGCTGCCCACGTCTAGGGATGTCGTCGCTACGACATCCGAGGCACTCGTGGCCTCGTGTGGTACTGTTGTACCCACACAGGAAGCGTGTTCAACGCCTTCCTCTTCAGTTAAGGTCTGGGCGACCACGTGTGGCACTGTGTTACCCACACAGGAAGCGTATCCGACGTCTTCCTCTTCAGTTATGGTCTGGGCGACCGTGAGTGGAACTCTGTTACCCACTCTGAACACGCTGTTCTCAGTGTTCATGACAGCTGCAGCTGTCTGCGGAACTAAGTTACCCGCCTGTGGACCTAAGTTACCCACTTGGCCGGCGCCTCTTCTGGGGCGCGGCCACCATCAAAACATCCTCGGAGTCGTCATATACGTCGACGACTCCCAAGCATCTGCCGGGATGCTTTGGTACCCTGGCAGCCCTCGCGGGCGCCCCGGGTCCTGACAGAGGTGGGAAACATGACTCACCAATGCTCTGTCGGACTGCGCAGGGCGGCTGGGACCGATTGCCTTGCCTCGCCAGTCGATCCAGG